CAAAATGAGCTGCAAGATTCTACCCTGGACAGGCAGAGAGGCCCGCGTTTGGGCCGATGTTTTGTTCTCTGGAGAGGAACCCATTTTCCCATCTGGCGGGGGGAGTGGAGATCAGAGTGACCACCTGGCCTCTGTCTTTGGAGGAAACCTTTGTGTCCCAGGCAGGCTGTACTCGGTGGGCTTGGCAGGGGGCCGATGACACCGTGCTCATGAGTCACTGGGGGCGAAGGTCGTGGTGTCTTAGTCATTCTCCCATCCAGCCCGAGGCCGACATTCCCAGAGGGAACCGGATCAGAGAGACTCCTGGACCAGGTCTTCTGCTCTGGAGTCACCCTAGCGACCCCAAAGCCGGGGAGAAACAAGTTGTGTGTATGCATGGGAGGGGGCCCCCTGAGATGCAGCCAGCCCTCCGGAGATGCTGAGATGCTAATTCATGGAACAATACTTACTTTGCAAAAATTTGCAAAAATATTTTAAGCACACGCATTTCTATTTATTAAACAGTGCTCAAAATACAACCTTTGGGAACCTCCAAGTAATAAAATGACTCATGTCAGGACCCGATGACTCAGTGGGAAAGAGGGAATTCCACCACCCACGCCTCCTTTCTAAAAAATCAATTTGCCCTCCCGACAGGTGATGGGAGCTTCTGCACTCATCCCTCGCCAAGCAAACCATGCAACAAAACAAAACTCTTCAAACAATTTAGGTTTCAAAACCAAGTAAGCCGATGGTCGGCCCGTATCCAGCTTACGCCCCCCTTGGGACACCAGAGTCAGGGAGCTACTTGGCCAGGGCCAGGGCCTGAATTAAGAAGGATTTACCAGCTGAAAAATTCCAAAACCCTGTGTCATGTGGAGGAACCTTCCAAAACATTGGATCCCACCCAGGCGGGCGAGTCGCTCAAAGCCATGGCAACCCGGTCCCGCTGCCACATCACTTTTATTTTTGTGTCCTTAGATTTTTTCCTGTTTTGCAATGTTTTGCTGGGACCCCCGACTCCGCCAGAGGCCCAGTGGCCGGTGGCCAGGGCTCCCAGCTGAAGTTGAGAACAGCACAGTCTGCCTAGTGTGAACTCTGCCTGGAAAGTTATGCATATTTTGCATTGCAGAGAACATAAACGGCTTTTCAGCAATTACTGAGAATGATACATAGGAAAGCTCCCGAAGGTTCTCTTGGCTTCTCATTGACACCACTATGGCAATATGGAAAATGCTGTCCTGGGACCCCAGCCCTGTTGCCCGCTGTGCCCTGAGGGAGGGTCCCTGGTTTGACCTGCCTGAGCCTCAGTTCCCTCATCTATCAAATGGGGATGAGGCCACCTGCCTGTGGCGGCCAGAGTGACAACGAAAGGGCACATCACCACTGCTCAGCACGATGCATTAGCACCTGATACGCCCTGGGGCCGCTCTAGCTGGAAACACAGAGCCTGCTCTCAAGGCAGAGTTGTGTGCGGGAGCCCAGCCGGCAAACGAGGGAAAGCCACTGTGCTGCTGTTAATGCCACCAAGAAAGCTCGGAGCAGGGCAACAGACAGGAGGCAACAGGGCTGTGGGGAGATGGACAACCTGAGAACAGTGGTCAAGGCGGCCCCGGCAGAGAGTGACCTCGAGCAGAGCTCTGCGGGCACCGGAAGGAGGCCTGCTTATAGAAAAGGGTGGGAAAATGCTCTGAGCAAACCACAATAGCAAAGGTCCTGAGGCAGAAAGGAGAGTGGGGTTGAGGACGCAGGATGCACAGGCATCACTGGAGAGGCACAGGAGACGCTAAAGCACCAGGGCTGCAGTGGGAGGTGAGGACCGAGCCTCAGCAGTTCACTGAAGTCATGAAAAATAGCTAAAAATGGAATAAAAACGATATAAAAATCGTTATTATTACTGCTGCTATAAATAAGGTCCCATTTTCCAAAACACCAGCTTTTCTAACTTAAGCAACACCACACCGCCCCTCTGTCCTGTTTTTCCACCTTCTCCAATTTGTCATCTTGCTGGAGTGGAAAGTGCCGATCCCGTTTTAGCCGACGGCTATAAAAAGCACACGGTGCTGATGACCAGACCCAGGCTAAGATTAGCTCGGAGGCTGTCACCTTTCTCTTAATGAGAGCAGCAGCTGGGATTCCCATTCCTTGGAAAACTCCAGCTGTTCCTCCCGCCCGCGGGGCCCACAAGCCAAGGTGTCCATGGAGATGGGTACTGCGATGAGTTTTGGAAAAAAGAAGTTGAGAAACAGGGATTCCCCCTGCAGGAGGCGGCCGGGCGGGGGCTGGAGCTCCCGGGGTCAAAAAGGCAGCTCAGAGCCCTGCGAGTCTAAGGTGGCCGCTCTCCGTGAGGGCTGTGGGCACCAGGCACCCACCCACGGAGCCCCCCGCAGCTGTGGGGACCCCAGTGTCTCGGATGCTCCCGGTCTCTGCCATCCACTCAGGACCAGCTCTCTCGAGGGATCCACAGGCAGCGGGAGGATCCTGCCTGCCCATGACACAGGGCACAGTTCCAAGGAGGGTCACCAGCACCATGACACGGTTCTAGGCAGGGGCTCGGGGAAGCTGGAGGGTGTTCAGCCGCACTAACCCGGCTCCAAACTTTCTCAGAGCAGAGCAGCTTCCCCACCCCCACCCCGCCAGGGGACAGACCCTGGAGCAGGGCTGCTGGACTTAAACGCCATTACCGTTTCCCAGCTGTGTGACATTTGCTAAGTCCTCAACCTCTCTTGGCTTAAGAGTCTCATCGGCAAAACTGGGAGAAAAGTAGCTTATTTTGGAGTACAGTTAGCAGAGTGAGATTAGCTGACATACACAGAGCGCATAGAACAAGGCTTGGCCCGCAGTTTAGTATTATTTCTTTTTATTGTCTTTAGAAGTCTCTTGGCTCCACGAGGTAAACTTACTGGTTTTTGTCTTTCCCCAGCCAAAGTAGAACAATAACATAAAAGCTGACACGAACTGAGCACCATCGATACACCACGCTGTGTGTGTGCAGACCTGGCAGGATGATCTCATGATACAGCCTCAGCTCCCCAGAGCAGGAAATCACCTGCATTTGATAAAAGAGGGGATGCTGGCCCAGAAAGGTGCAGTGACTTACCCAGAGTCACCCAGCTACTAATGCTAAGGGAGAGTTCAACCTGGGCCATCTGACCTCAGGCGTGCCTGTTACCCCTGTGCCTCTCAGTCCCCCATACTTGCCTGGCCTAAAATTGGGGAGCATATGTGGCCCTTAGAAAGTCCCCGGCCAGAGCAAGATTTCACTGAGGGACCATGGAGTTGACACATAACTCGAACTGAGCATGTGGTATGATCCACGGATGCAGCTCCCACAGGCCCAGGACAGGGGCTATGTCCTCTTCCACAGAGAGGAGACCGGGGCCCAGGGAGGCAGAACCAGAGGCCACAGCTGTGTACCATCTGCAGGTGGGGCTTGACTGCCCAGTTTCCCTCTTGGATATAAATGTCTGGTTTCTTAGAACCAAAAGAATGGAAGCTGGAGAGTAAATGCCTGCCATCCTGTCTACATCCATCCTTCACCCATCTATCATCACCCACCCATCACCCATCCATCACCCATCCACCCATTTACCATCCATCCACCCATTATCCATTCATCCACCACCCATCCATTCACTTATTCATTCAACAAATACTTCATTAATGCTCTGAGTAGCTGCAAAGCTGCTGAGAGAACAGAGGCTTTCCCCAAATTTAACTTGGTGCAGCCAGGACCTGCCTCCTTCATCTGGACCCAGTGGCCAGACCCTCCTGCCTTCCAGTGGCAATGCCAAGGCTCATCCAGAAAGGTCCCCAAGCATGTCAGACACAACACTCTCACTTTCAGAAAAGAACCTGCATCCCATCCAGCCTTCTGCATCCAATCACTGCTCTGCGCACATGCAGAGAGCACAGCCTTCTGCCTCCGTGCCCCCAGAGAGACAGCACCCACCTACTGAGCCCTTCCAGTATGTGGCCAAAACACAAGGACACTCACTAGACCTTGCCCAGCAGAGAAATGCAAAGTGTGAATAAATATCAATTACACAAAGATTGTTTTTTAATTTTAAAAAGAAAAAAGACAAGACCTTTTTGGAATAGGATGGAACTGTTCCTGAGACGGCGGAAGGGTTAGCTTGCACATTTGTGGAAGATAATTCAGCAATGTGTACTTAAAACTCTCAAAATGATGATCCAAATTCCATCCCTGAGAGCCAGTCCCAAATACCCACAGAGAGGTCCACCCAGAGACCTGAGCATAAGGAGATGGGCGCGTTCCCACCCATGTGAGCCACAGAGGAACACACAGGACAGTCCCATTGGGTGGCTGGAACCACTGGGGATGCAACCGGATCTAATCACTTCTGTCAGCCTTTATATGAATAAAATTAATAAAAAGCTACCTGATGGGACAGGCATGCGCACACCACTGGTGGTACCAGCAGCCTGACAGCAGGACTACAAATTATGGCCAGTTGGGAACGTGTTAATTAATCTTAGCAGTGTAAGAAAATTAATTACAACACTACTTAAAGTACAAGAAGACAGCGTTCATTGGCTCATAATATACCTGGCACTGGCTCAGTTCCTCCACATACATAACTCATGTAAGCTTCATGATAACTGTAAGCTCAGAATCTCACTGTTATTCTACAGATGGGGAACCGAGGCACAGAAAGGCAATCTGCTTACGATCACAGAACACACAAGAAGCACAGCTAGAATTTGAACCCAGTGAACGCACAGGCTCAGTCACCTTGCTATGCAGCTTCTCGCCTTCATAGCAGAAAAAAGCTTTTTATAAAAGTTTGCTCCTCCATGTAATAAACCACCACAGCACAACCGCGCACTGCAATCCCTGGAGCAAGTGAGCAAAAACAGCGGGGCCAGAAACTCTGCTGGGACAGGCCCTCGGGCGCTGCTGGGCGACAAGGCACCCACACAGGAGGCCGCTGCAGGACCACAAGAGATGGTCTTTCTCGCACGGCTCCAAAGGACCAAGAGCTCAGAAAGCCACTGACCTGTGGTCTTCTCGGTGAACACGACTTTGGACTCGGCCGTGAAGTTCTGTCCCGTGAGGATCATCTGCTGGCCCCCGTAGACCAGGCAGCTGTCAATGTCCTGCCGTTCCACCATGGGCAGCTCGTGGGCGGAGCGCTGGGCTGTGGGCAAGAAGACGAGAGGTCATGAGATGGGGAGACATCTGCTCATGAGGGGCGGTCGATTGTATACTAGCAGTGAGATAAAACATGTGGTGTCACCTGCTGCCACCACAAATGGAGAACCACCACCCCCGACAACTACAGACTCCAAAAATTATGGTTTGAGCTTGCTTCCTTGCTTGTGTTCTTGCTTTCTTTCAAAGAGTATAAAACTAAACAAAATAAAACAGAATAAAGCCAATCAAAACAAAACAGTGAAAGTGATACAGGATTTTAAAACAGAATAATAGGAAATCAGCAATGGCTGCCATGATGCCTCCTGGTGTCTTCAAAATCGCTGCCCACGCCATCAGACGTCATCAAATCACACAAAACAGAAGAGAATAAAACTGATCAAAATAGAACACTGAATAAAACAACAATAAAATGGAACAAGACAAAACAGTGAGAACATATTGGATTTTGAAGACGAGACAAAAGGAAATCCCTGTAGCTGCATATTGTTATTCTCTTAGTAGACACTCAGGCTTCCAGCTCCAGGCCTGCAGAGCCGCATCTAACTACATGCTTTGTTTTGATGAGTCCAGGGACATGACAATTTGACCTCTTCTATGAGGGATGAGCCGGTCGACTTTCCCACTGGGGGCTCCTCTGTAAGGTTCCTCTCTCCTGCTCCATCTGCAGGCCAAGCACAGGCGCATCCTGCTTAGGAGTTCAGTCCTCAAAGACTGAGATGCAAGCGCCCCGGGACTGGCGTGTGATTCCTAACATGGTCTGTAGGACAGCCACGATCTGCCCCCTGGGTAGCTCTAGAACTTCCGGTGATCATGCTGCTGCTGGGACGCTCCCAGAACATTCTCAGTGCCTCTTACACACTCAGGGAGCTCACTCCGAGCAGCTGCACCTTCTCCGGGAAAAGCTCACTGCAGACGTACCTCGGGGAGCTGTTGTCATGCCGTCCTGTGTCTCCCCTCTCCCTACAATGTCACCCAGGAGGGAGGGGCTTTGCCTGCATCCCACTCTAAAATGAGGCCAAAGCCAATATGGGGCCACACTTAGCAAGAGGAGGATGAGACGGATGGATGGACAGACAGACGGATGGGTGCACAGATGGATGGGGGTGACTCACAACATGTCTCTTTATTTATAGCAGTAATGAATGACAGGAGGAGGAGCAGGACTGACTGACGCCAGTCACTCAACCAAAATAACACGCATGAACGCTCACGGCAATGAAATAGCAACATTATTCACACCTGACCAGGGAGAAACTTAAACCTAAGTGAAGTCAAGTCGCCCACCACTGGGCGTCCCAGGGCTGGGCTCAGGCCTGAGCCCTTATGAGCAGGCTTGCCCAGCCCCCGAGTCCAGTCTCAGGCACCCTCCTACCAGCCACTGTCCCCAGGGATGGCAGGTGACAAACACATCCTGGCCTTGGCCCAGGTCCCACCTCCAGCCTCTGCCTCCACAGCCCTGCCCTCCCCGTGAGTCAGCCCCAGCTCTTGGCTTCCCTCCTGGAGCTCAGAGAACCAGGCACAGGGCCAGGCCTTTCCATGCCAGGGGCCTGTGGACCTCCCCATCCGGGAGCTGAGGCAGCAGCCGCTTGAGACGCAAGGCCTAAACTCAACCCTCCCTCTGAGTAGCAAGCATCTCCTTCCCTCTGTGCTGGGGCTGCTGGGCCAGGCTGGAGCGCCTGACGGAGCAGGGATGCAATCGGCGGTATCTCTGGAGTCTGTCCTGCCCCCACCAGCGGCGTCCTGACACTTGGCCTTGGACACACAACACAGCCACTCTGGCTCTCTGTTCCCAGGGCCTGCCTGCCAGCGCTCTTCCGAGGGGCTGCTGGCTGGAGGACGTCTTAAAAGGCCTCTCAGCAGAAGCTGCTAATTTCTCCCACATGGGCTGGGTTATTAATCCTTTCTTTCAATATTGGAGTTTTGTGATGACTGCCTAATTGAGCTGCCACAAATGGAGATTTATAGCAGTGAGAACAGCAGTCCCGGGGCCTGGCTTTTAAGAATTGCCTTTGATGGAGTTGGGGGCCGTAGGGGCTTTTGAAGCTGGGGGTGGGAATGGGTAAGGAGGTGGCAAGAGCCACCCCTCCCATTTTACAGGTGGAAAACCTGAGTCATCACTACTGGGTAAGCCAGCCAAGGGCCTGTAGCCAGCCCAGCCGGACTGGACGGGCCGAGAGCTTGGCGCTGGGTGGGAGCTTAGCCTGGAGCGGGCTGGTGAATCACTGTGCATTGTGTGAACACAACTCCTCTGTTCCCCAAAGCAACCTCTCTGCTTCTCTGCAAAGCCTCATAGTCCTAAGCAACGGGCTGATGACCCGCAGCCAGTGCTGCATTTCCGACCTCCTTATCTGCAGGGAAACATTTTTAAGTGAAAATTTAAGGCGCAAACAAAAGTCCAGGACAGCTTCCAACAAGCTTATCTCATCCTGAAGCTCAAAGCACCGCCAGAGGCAGCCCGACTGAGTTGGAAATGCAGAATCTCAGGCCTTCCCAGCCCTCCTGCCCCCAGGTCTGCAATCTGACACAAACCCAGGAGCAGCCCTGCCCAGCTCCCGCTGCACACAGGACCAGCCCAGGAGTAAAAAGCTACTGGCACCAAGGCCCTGTGCCTACAGCAATCTGGACACCCACTCCACTGGTCATTCTTTATGGTAAAGCCACTCTGTGCACCAGCACTGGATGCCACTGGCACCCAGCCCTCAGCTGTGACAACCAAAAATGTCCACAAAAGATGTCCCCTAGAAAGGAAAGGCACAAAATTGCCCCTATTTGACAGCAACTGTTTAGAGACTTTGACTTAAACCGTCTGAGGATAGGACCCCAGTGTGACTTCAGGGACCACAACCAGTCTGGAACCTTCTGGTGGCACTGCTGCTGGGCTGCACAGTGCAGAGCATTGGGAGCAGCTGCAGGGTTACATACAGAGTCATAAAAGCCATGGCTCTGAGCCCTGCATCTGTCACCTCCCTGGTGCGTGACCTTGGGAAATCCCTGAGTCCCAATGTCTCCTCTGTCAAATCATAACAGTCCCTGCTCTTACAGGTCTGCGTCACACAGTACCAGAAATCACACACATAAAGTGCACAAGGGCAGGACTCAGCTGGTGAAACAGCTAATGTCAACTCAGATGCCCAGGGATGGAAGGTACACAAAGGTGGACACCCACACGGAGTACTTCCAACTACGAAGAGAAACAATGTGCTAGGACTCTGAAAACATCCTACCGAATGGAAGGAGTCAGTCACACAAACACTGTGCCATCCCATTTGTGTAACGCATCCAAAAGGCAGATGCGTACAGTGGGTGAGTAGTTTACCAGGGGCTGGGACAGAGGGGAACCGGGAGGGACAGAAAAGAGGTATAGGGTTGTTTTTCATGGTGCTGGAAAAGTCCTAGAACTAGCTAAAGCTGGCACTTGTACAATACTACGAATGTGATTAACACCACTGACTTACACATTTTTAAGACAGTAAACTCTAGTTACGTAAGTTCAGTGTCTGTATATTAGGGTACAACGAAAGGACCTGCTACAGGCAAAGACACTTCACCTGCGCCCAGGGCTCACTAAGCACTCAAGAAACTGCAGTGTGCACCTCAGTCAACCACCTGGCACCCGGAGTCACTCCAGCAAGGTTAGTGATACCCGGGACTGGAGCATCCGGAGCATTAGCTATGTCACCAAGCCTGGGTGGCCAAGTCCACACGCTGACACAGACTACCTGTGGGGCCACTGCGGTCCTGATGGCCCCTGAGCCATCACCTAGGTTTCTTGGTGTTATGGCCCCTGACTGCCAGACTTCCCCAGTGGGTGGCTCTGCAGCCACCTGCAGCAGTCGCCTGCCTACGTGGGGCAGGTGCTTAATGCAGCCCAAGCCACACACGCACACACCCCCAGCACCCCATTACACACACACCCACTGTTTCCCGAGCTGCTCAGGCTGGATATTTGTACTTTGCCAAAATCTCCAGGTACTTGTTACAGTCACTTATTTAAGAGCCCAGTTCCGCTCATCAAAAGCCACCTGAGGATGGGGGAACTCCTCCCGGGGATGCCCCGGTCCTCAGAGGGCCCAGGGCAGAGGGATCCAATTAGCCTCTGAAAGAGGAACTGGGGAGAGGGGGAAACAGCAACCAAGACCTGGGGACCTGTTTCTGTCTGATGCAACTTCCACTACCCACGGCTGCTGCCCACTGGAGCCCAGGGCCCGAGGGAGGGCTCAGTCCCTAGCTTCCCCGATACGCGTCCTGCTTCCTTAGGGAGTGCAGCCAAGGCCCCCGCCCACAGATTTCTAACCAAAGCCATGCCCAGCCCGGCCTGGGTGAGATAACCCCGACCCCTGTATCCACTTCAAGGTGGCCCTGACAAACTGACTTCCCCAGCCCCGCTGCTGCTCTGGCTCCCGCACGCTGTAAAGCGGCTGCAGGCTTTCGTGTTTTATAAGCTCTGAACTCCTAGGTGCTGTGGGTTACACCCGCCTGTGTTTCCTCTCAGCGTTGTGGACGGAGCAGATACTACAGCTCAGCTCCACCAGGGAGACGCACGGCCAGGCCTGCAGTTCACCCCGTCACAGGTCTGGGGGCCAGGATCACTGGGGAGAGGCTGGCTGGGAAAAGTCCTTTCTGCAGAAGGGCTGGTTCTTTCAGCACCATAGAAAACACCCAGATTCCCTGCAGGTGGTGAACATTTTGTTTATGTTATAAAACACACGTCATAAGGCAGGGCAGCATGGCAGGCAAACGTAAGGGTGCTGCGGTGGCTGCCCAAGTGCGGAGTATCCAGCTTGGTGACACCCTAGTGCTGGGAATTTGGATGAGTTCTGTCACCTCTCTGCGCCTGCTTTCTCACCTAGAAAATGGAAATGATCACAGCACCAGCTTCGTAGGGCAGCTCCAGATTAACCAAGCAGATGCACAGGGGGTGCGTGGCACCTCATCCGGGCTCTGTGAGAGCTAATTTTTTTTTTTTTTTTTTTTTTTTTGGCT